TTTAAAGAGTCCTTTAAAAAAAAAAAAGGATGAGGGAAAAATAGGAATAGGTGTTTACTCCTTGATCAAACTTCTCATACGCATAGCCAATGATAGTTCTTTTTTTTCTAATACTAACAGCCACTGATCCGTCCAAACAAAGCAGCCTTGGTTCTCCAAAATTCCCTGTTCTACATTCTAGTAGCCAGCAGCATCTCTGTCATCAGAGTTGAAGCTCTGATGGTCTGTTTGGTGCCGGCAGGTCTCCATTCATTGCCCGTAGACTGTCCACGCCCAGGTATCCCAGCAGGATCTCACTCCGTCTGCGGGAGAGCTGGAGGATGTCCTCTGCCAATGACTGGATTGTAGTGTACCTCACTTTATCCAAGTCAAACATGTCCTTTAAATACTGCACAATTTGATGCTGTTTTATGAAATGAAGACAAAGACGTTATCATCGTTTGCAAATATAATCTACGTAAAAGCAGCAAGCAAGCAAGAAGCCTCATTTTGTGAATTGGTGGATACAAATCATCCCCCTTCCCCTTATAGGAATCCTGTGCTGAATGAAATATGTAGGCTGAGCTGCTTCTGAAAATGTCTGGCTGTCATTCTGTTCCTATGGTTCCAATATTCTGCATAGTCAATGCAGAGAACGCACACTCCTGACATGCATAATTGTCCCATTTTCAAGGACCCAGAATGTATTGAGGATATTTAAGCTGGTCCTAGATGGCTCAAATGTTGGCAGATTCCTGCTTGAATCAGAGGACCTTCTCCGGCTCTACAAAAGTCGATTTAAAGATCAACTGATCCGAGTGGAACAGTATATGCTGACTACTGACTGCATCCTATCAGATGAAATCGCTGTTCAGGTATTTAGATAGCTACAGCTGCAGTGGCTCAATACAATAGCCAGCAGGGGAGATTCCTCCATCCACACTGTTTGAGTAGTTAAGGTCCTGTCTGGGCCTGGGATCTAGGTATAATGACTTAGGCATTGATTAGAAAACTATAACACAGATACATTCAGGCAACATCAGGTGCCTGCACTTAGCAATATTGTTGGCTTAGGAACTTTTTAGGACAAGTCCATTTCACTTTAAGAAAAAAAAAAAATGATGGTTTTCTGATTTTAGCAGTGTTTTCTGGATAGCATTAGCTGTGCACTGATTGACTTTACTATTCGCTCTCTGAAGGGAAACTCTAAGGCCCCTTTCACATGGTCCGATCACAGGCATGGATCCCCTCCTGATCGGAATGGATGTTACTAGAGGTGCACCGAAATGGAAATTTCAAAACCAAAACGAAACCGAAATTAAAAAAAAAAGTGTTTACTATCACCACAATTATGAATGAACAGACACCATACTCTGTCCTCAATTATGTACAAACACTCAGCGATCACTGATCCCTGAGTGTTTGCACTCGCTCTCCTTCCTGACCGCTGTCACAGGAGGCTGAGCGAGTGGTGCAGGGAGGAGAGCACAGCCTCCTGTGACAGCGCTGGTTGTCTCCGCCCCCACACCGCTCTGCCGGACTGTGATAGGCTGAGCGGTGTGGGAGGAGACACACCGGCCGCTCACAGAGCTCTCCTCCCGCAGCGCTCGGCCGCCTGTGACACTTTCTATCCTCCCCGCTGGGACACAGAGCAGCGCCCAGCGAGGAGGAGAGAAAGCAGGGATGTGCCGCTGTATCGGCAGAAAAATGCCACTTTCGACATTTAGCCAAAAGTGCCGTTTTCGGACGATATGTTTCGGCAGCCGATATATCGGTGCATCCCTAGATGTTACCATTGAGACATCAGTGTCCGTGCAGTTTTTTTTTCCTCCATCGCAAGACAAAAACTGACATTACCAGACCCATGTGAGCGTATGGGCAGCTGGATCTAAATGGACAGTTTTCAGTTTACATTCGGTTACCCCCAATCCGGCACAATCAGGTCCGGCAAAAGGGATTACTGGTCTGTTTATTTTTCCGGACTTGGCCAGAGCCGAGGGTAACCGGATGTAAAAGGACGCCTAGGTGTTACATACAGCTACCCATAGACTAACATTGGGCTTCTGATCAGGTCCGCCTGAAATCTGACAGGCAGACCTGTACGGAAAGCCTGTGTTAAAGAGGCCCTATGTGAATTTGATATGTTTTATATCTGTTTTACCATTTATAATTCTTATTCTTTACTATCTTTTAGATTGTAAGCCCTCCGGGGGAAGGGCCCTCCTTACCATCTTGTTTTGAATTGTATTAGGATTGTTATGTCTTCCTTATATTGTAACACGCTGCTCAAACTGTTGGCGCTATATAAATCCTGTATAATAATAATAATAATAATATTTAACAATCATTTCCAGAGCATTTTTCTCTAATCTGACTAAAGTAAAAAGCACATTGCACAATGGCCTTGTTGTTCGCACTGCTTTGTTCTAAAGGCCCAAATAAATGATCTCTGACAGCTCTGAATAAGTGTCCCCCCACTTGCTGTGCTTACAGAGCAGTGTGCTCTTAAAGTGTACCTGTAATCTCTACTCTGTGCTGTAAGCTATTTTGTTCCCTAAATGAATTTACAGTCGTTTTTTTCTGGAATACTGAAAGGGTATATGTGCGTGTACTGTATATCATGTATATGTGCATGTACTGTATATCATACAAGAGGGAAATATAGGTGAAAAAAATTACCTTAAAGAAAGTACAGATTTCTGTTAAGTTCTCTTTTGGACCAAGAAATCCATATGCCAATATGGGGCTGACATGCTCCGATACGGAGTAGAAGTGTGATATGAAGCCATCTGGAACCTATATAAAAATCAATACATCAACACATTACCTATACAGCCGAGCTGGGCATGCACATCCCAACAGTCTAACCTATGGCCCCAGGCAGAGATGAGTCACCAGCATCATGGCTGCCTTTAGTCTAAACCAGTGTTTTGTAGCTTTTAACGCAGAGGATAAGCACATACAGTACAATTCTCTCTCTGACTGACTTCCTGCGTACCCATACATTAGCTCTATTTAACTGGACACATTTATATAAGTAATATATGTTTCTGTTCTCCACAGCTCGTCATTCAATGTTGTCAGATGTGTGAAAATTAGTATCTCTGTGTCAGGTTTTTGATGTTGTCTGTGTCCCGGTCTCTGCACTCCCTCCTGTACATACTGCCCACCATCATACCCTCTGTATTCCCCTCCTGTACATACTGCCTACCATCATACCATCCTGTACATACTCCCCATCAAAATGCCCTCTGCACTCCTTTTCTTGACATACTGTCCACCATCAGACCCCCTGTAATCCTCTCTTGCACATCCTACCCACCATCATACACTCCACACTCCCCTCCTGTACATACTGCCCACCATCATACCCTCTGCACACCTTTCATTCACATACTGTCCACCATCACACACTCTGAACTCCCCTCCTGCATATGCTGTCCACTATCATACCTTCTGCACTCCCTTCCTGTACATACTGCCCACGGACTTACCCACCACATTCCTTTCCTGTACATACTGACCAACATCAGGCCCTCCTCACTTCCTTCCTGCACTATTGGGCCCCATCCTACCCTCCCCACTACCCTTCTGGCCATACTGTCCACCATCATGCCCTCTGCACTTCCCTCCTGCACCAACTTCCCACCGTCATACCCACTGCATTCCTCTCCTACACATGCTGCTGCCATAATATCCTCCACACTCCTGTCCTGCACATTCTGCCCACCATCATAACCTCTGCACCCCTGTTTTGCATATGCCGACAGATAAAACATAATATTCCTAATAATAAACGTAATATTCCTAATCCTGCCTGTTCTGAAACAGGTCCACTTCTTCTAGTTAATATCATTTTTATTTACAAAATAGGGCAATATTTACCATGAGAAGCCTTCGTTTTGCTTTTAAAACCGACCAACATGCAGTTGCCAATGCCTGCAACATTGACAGAGTTTATGAATTAGGAACAAAAACATAAAATTTACACAAAACAAGAAATAGGCTTAAAACACAATATAAAGCCAAACTGTAAGCCAGCAGCTGAAAATAGAGTTTAATATATCATAATAAATGTTTTTACGTTTTAAAGTAAACCTTACAGGGACAAATATGGAGGCCGCCATTGCAGACTTTCTTCAGGAAATATTAGTTGCCTGGCTGGCTCTAGCTTTGATACTCTGGTCACTAATCTGGGAAAAACATGCAAATCTGGGAAGTCACAGAATTCAGAACTTTGTGGTCTGCATACATGTTTCTAGTAGTGACTCAAAGCCATGTCAGCCAGGCAAGTAACATTTTCAGATAGCTTATTAGAATAAGTTTCCTTTAAATATGGGTGTTTATATATCTATATATATAGATATCTCTCTCTCTCTCTCTCTCTCTCTCTCTCTCTCTCTCTCTCTCTCCAGAGAGAGAGATAAACAGAGCACCTCACATGAGGGGTGGGTGGTTTTACTTCCTGAACACTGCTCTCTCTGCTTTCTGTATTACCAGATTCAAACTTCCAAGGCAGGTCTGAATCTGGCTGTGAGCAGCCTCTTACTATGGACAATTTGCTATATGAGGTTTTTAGTATGCGAGAGACAGAAAGGGGCCTGCAGTGGGTGTGAATGGGAATACCCTTTTTGCATTGCAGATAAGCAAGAGGGGTTCTCAAATTAATGAGAAAAGGGATGGGGGTGGACTGGTGTCCAAAGCAATGCCAAAATAAAAAAAACTAAAGCTCTTACCAGGTAAGCTGTATCCCCTGTATGTATTTCAAACTTTAACCTTTTCACTGACAGACAGTTTTTTGCATTTTTTTTCACACGTGTTAAAATGCACATTTTAGGCCTAAAAGATTAGTTAACACCCCCCGAGAATGGTATAAAAAGCAGAGACCCTGGAGAATAAAATTGTAGTAGTTGCAATATTGTTGCATGATATTAGCACGACTGTTTATCAAATCCACATTTTCAGTAAAAATACACTAAATGTAAATTTTAGTGCACACAAACACAATATAATATATGACAAAATATAAAAGATGAAGGTGCAACAAGTAAATAGATAGAAAACATGTCAAGCCTTAAAATAGTGAGCAGAAGAAATCACATGAGTGTAAAGCCGCCCCAATCACTTCTACCAGAAAGTCGACTTGTTAGATGTAAACACACTCCCGTCTGCTATAGCAGCTAGGAGTTTGTTAACAAAAGGTAAAAGCCTGTGCTGCTGCTGCTGATGTAAGCCTTACACCCGTGGTAGTGAAAGGGTTACTGAATATTTCAAGCCAAATCTTTTTCTTCATTTTGATAAGAGTAGGTAAACCCATGTAAATGGGGTTTTTTTTTTGGCTCCATCTGATCCATTGGGAGATTTCCCTTCACTTCCTCTCCTATAAACACAACATAACGTGATAGGAAATCTCTCCAAAGTGAGGGACCGGTGTAACTGGAACAGAAACACAATGGTTTATTTCCAATGTAAGCAAGAGAGGGACCTGCATATTTACTCACAGTTTCCTTGAAACTATCAGACAGCCAGCGGTTCCGCAAGACGGCAATTACAGAGGATGGCGGATTTTCTAAGTCCTCAAAGGCATCCATTAATATAAAATCCAGTGCTATGTCAAAGAAATTCATGCAGACCACCTAGAAGGCACAAAACATTTTACAATACAGAAAAATGAAACAAGTAGATATAATGTATAACTGCTGGAGGAAAGGGACTGAGCGTCTGACATTAGGGGAAGGAAACAAGAAGATATAGTGTATACCTGCTGGAGGAAGGAACTGAGTATCTGACATTAGGGAAAGGAAACAAGACAATGTAATATATAACTGCTGGAGGAAGGAACTGAGTATCTGACATAAAGGAAAGGAAACAAGGAGATACAATGTATAACCATTGGAGGAAGGGACTGAGTATCTGACATTAGGAGAAGGAAACAAGCAAATGTAATATATAACTGCTGGAGGAAGGAACTGAGTATCTGACATAAAGGAAAGGAAACAAGGAGATACAATGTATAACCATTGGAGGAAGGGACTGAGTATCTGACATTAGCTATCCCCATTGAACAAATGTAATGTATAACTGCTGGAGGAAAGGGACTGAGTATCTGACATTAGGGAAAGGAAACAAGCAAATGCAATGTATAACTGCTGAAAGGACTGAGTATCTAATATTATGGAAAGGAAACAAGGAAATAAAGTGTATAACTGCTGGAGGAAGGGACCAAGTATGTGACATTAGGGAAAGGAAACAAGACAATGCAATGTATAACTGTTGGAAGGGACTGAGTATCTGACATTAGGTAAAGGCAACAAGACAATGCAATGTATAACTGCTGGAGGAAGGTACCAAGTATCTGACATTAGTGAAAGGAAACAAAGTGACACAACATATAAAAGCTGGAGGGATAGGAGTATCTGACGTTGGTAAAATCTTGTGCTGGACAGATTATCACCCCTCTAAAGGGATTACATTGATTTACGCACTGCTAAAACCTTAGGGATACGATTAGTTATAATCCTATTTTTTAAAGTCTGTCCCTAGGTCTCCTGCGACTTTGACAGCATGGTGCCTACGTGTTTAGCATGCTTGCCTGGCAGTACTGCATTCCAAGGTTCAGTTTCTACCCAAAGAATAGTCAGTGTTGAATTTTTAAGCGTGCGTTTCCTCCCAAAACCCTGAAAACATAGTGACTTTCACCCAGACATTCCCTATTCAGTTTGCACAAATGTGGCAGATATAATAATGTAATTTCTTTGCTGGCAAGGACTAATGGGTACAGGAAGAAAATGCAAACTCAATGCAGACCAAATCCTTTGTGCTGTGCTCTGCAAAACTAGCTCTCCCACATCCCATTCCATTAGATGCTGCTTGGCTAGTAGAGGGATTTTACCATACACACATGGCAATTATCAGCTAAGTAGATCTATTGTGTTATCATATTAAGTCAATACACTGACATCTTTACAGCGTATCTTCTCCTTACCCCACGTCCTGTTAGTTCTCTCTGAGTAGTGGGCCACGTATCTTCCTTCAGTGCATACCGCACCATTTCTTCATAGTTCTCTATGAAACCCTTAGGATTCTGAAACAAATATATAGGAGAAATAAAACCAGGTCAGTCATTACAAGAGCCTTTAAAGTGACCCTTGCTATCCCATCTAACAGCACCTATGCAGACAGGCAGTTGTAAGCTCTTTATTGCTCCCTGTCTTGTCACAGCTTTCTAGCAATGCCTAGATAGCAGCTGTGAAACTCTGCATAAAAACTGACTGTCATAGCACAGAAAGCTGATAGGGAAACAACTATAATTCCAGCCAATTGGGAAAGGAGGGGTGGACTTCTAAAGGTGAAGTCAATTTTGACAGGGCTGCCTATCTAGGTTTTGCTAGAGAGATGTGGCAGGAGAAAGGGTGCAACACAGAGCTTGAAACAGCTTCTATGCCCAGGTACTACATAGTATTTGAGGTTGAATAAAGACACAGGTCAATCAAGTCCAACCTATTGCGTGTATGTCTGTGATTCTGCATGTTCATGCGTGTGCACGAGTCCCTGTGTGCTCTTGTTTCTAAGAGTACCTGTACCCCTGTATGTTCCGGTCTCGGAGGAAGTTGTCTAAATGCTTTTTAAAAGATTCAACACTCTCAGCTGATACCACTCCTGGTGGCAGCGAGTTCCAGTCTTTAATAGCTCTAACTGAGAAGAAGCCCCAATTTTAGATGGTGGCCTCTAGTTCTTGTTTTGGAGTTTACCATAAAAAGTTTATTGCTGATGTTGCTATCCCCATTGAACATTTTGTACATCCAAATAATGTGCCCCCTTAATCGCCTCACTTCTAGCGTAAACAGGTTTAGATTTAGTAGCCTTGTCTCATAGCTTTGGTCATCCATCACCTTAATTAGTTTAGTTGCCCTTCTCTAGACTCTCTCCTGCTCCAGGACATCCTTCCTGTGTATTGGTGACCAAAACTGGACCAGATGAGGCCGAACTAGTGATCTATAAAGTGGCAAAATTATAGATTTGTCTCTACAGTACATTCCCTTTTTAATACAAGATAGAACTCTGCTCACTTTGTTTACCGCAGCCTGGCATTGCAAGCTATTGTTCAATCTGTGGTCTCCTATGACCCCCCAGATCTTTTTCCATTTCTGACTTCCCTAGTGGAGTTCCCATTAATGTGTATTCCGCTTGCCTATTTTTAACCCCAAAGTGCATTACTTTACATTTATCTACATTAAACCTCATCTGCCATATAGTTGCCCACTCCCCTATTTTATCCAGGTCCTCCTGTAATGTTATAATGTCTGAGTCTCTGTCTATTACCCTCCCAATTTTAGTATCATCAGCAAAGATGGAAACATGGCTATTCACGCCCTCCCCGATATCGTTAATAAACAGGTTGAAATAATAAACAGGTAGTGTTAGAGGAACTAGCAAAAAGGAAAAAAAAAAAAAAAAAAGAGTCAAAGTCAATTTAATAACCTGTGTGTTAGGAATAGCTGATAAAACACTGCATTTGGGATACTTTCTTGAAGCACCCCCTCTTTATACAATACCTTCTCAGCTCTAACAATCAGTCCTGTCACCATCTGTTTCCCAACTTCACCAAAGAACAACTGGTTCCCTTCATCCTGAAGTAATTGCTGCAATCAGAAAAAAAAGTATTTTACTGCTGAAGCTGAACACAGACACAATATGATTGCTCTCAAACACCAGCACTTCCTGTCGATCATTTATGTTTAAAAAAGAACCTGCACTGCAAGGGTTAATTACTCGTTTTTGTCTAGGTTCCAAAAAGATGCTCTGAGCCGGCTTGTTTTTAGACCGGTCCTTCCAGCCTCTCACCCCCTCTCCTCTGCAGTGGTAAGGTCCTGTAAATCATAACATCTATGCAGTGTGTATAGACAGTGTACAGATGTGAGGACACTGAGGAAGATTCCAATGCTGCAGAGGAGGAGACAGGCTGGAGGGAGCGCTGTGCCAGCTGGCCGGCCTGCAGCTTCAGGTGAACATAACTTTGCCATTTTAGCACCTAGATGAAAAACGAGCACTTAACCATTGCAGTGCTGGGGGGGTTTACAAAAGTACCAAATTCACTCTGGTTGGTGTATTCCACATTTAAAGGGGAAGTTTTTTTTTCTTGTTTTTTTTTTACACGTTATTCCTTATTATTGAACTAGAAGAAACAACATTTGTTTACTTATCTTTAGTTAGGCAATTATGAAATACTACATATTAATGTTATGGAGTTTTCTATCCACTCTAGTCTCCTTTTTACATACTCAGACAAAAGGGAACTACAAACTAAGTGCCTGCTGTGCAGTCTCTCTCGTTGAGCCACAGTGCTTTGGAAATCCTTTGTCATGTATTATTTGTTATGTATTGTATATATAACGATTATATACACACACACACACTTAAAAAAAATGCATAAGATAAAAAAAATCGAATAAAAAAAAACATTATAGCTTCCCTTTAAAAGTAACAGAAGTTTTACTGTTATCTGTATATCTTCATGTAATTATGTATGATGTAAGTGTTATAATCTGAAACCGCCACTTGCAGTGTGCGCAAACATACCTGTATATCTGCTATAACACAACGAAATACCAAAATAATAAAAACTTTTTTGAACGGAAAAAAAAAAAAAGTAACAGAAGTTTTAATGTCAATTACCTAGCAAATGCTTCATAGCCAAATAGTCACAAAGACACATTACGCACTACAACAATGTGATCTTGATTGAATAAGCAAGAAAACATTTTATTTCAGGTACCTTGAAGGCGTGACGGACACAGTGCAATTTTGCCAGAAAGTCCTGGTCATTATAACAATCCAACAGCTCTGTTCTAAAGAAAAACCATAAAAAAAACACAACAACATACATGAAGCATTTATACAAGTCATAAAACATTGATTATTTCTATCTTTAGAAGTAAACTTTTATTTAAAGCTGAACCCCAAGCACAAAAACCTTCATTGAAATATATTCTTCAAAAGCCACAAAGGATATAAATCCACTTAGTGCTCAAGAGATGCCTTCATAGACCCAAATATTACCTTGTTAAAAGTAGCGGCGACAACATTACTGTTTATAGCCTGCACAGAGAGCAGAGCTGTGGGAGGGACCCAGCAGGCTCCACCCACTACAGGCTGCCTGCAGATAACTACAGGAGGGGGCAGAGAAAAGACCAGTCACCCTGCACAAGGATAGAGCAGCAGTGACTGGTCTTCATTACAGGAAGATCCTGCACAGAGGGAAAGTTTCACACTGCATTATTTAATGAACAGATCTGAAAGAAATACACAAAGCTCACCAAGGTGGGATAGGCTTCCCTGAAGAGATGAGTCTTAAGGGATCACCTAAGACTCATGGCCACATACCCAAATCTGCTGTGCTCCTCTGGCAAATGTTACCTACCCTTGCTCCTAGCACCTGCTTTAAAAACACTGCATTATCCAGTAAGAGGAGCATGGTGGTCCAAAAGGTATGACTTTATAGTAACACTTATGTGGTTCACAGTATTGGATTTGCAGGGGCTACAATGTACTGAAATATTAACTTATCCTTTAAAGGGGGCTTACCACTTTCATGCAAAAAGGGAAAAAAACACCTAAAAATAGGAAAGCAGTGTATGTCATGCTGCTACATTTTCTTCCCCAATACCATCTTGCTTTCAGCAAAGTGCAACTCTAGTCTCAGAAACCCTTACATTTTAACAGGCTTTGAGACTGGAAACGTGGAAAAAGCTGAACTGATCTGAGTCTTAGGGCCTCAATGGCTTTCCAAATTATACAAATCTCCCTAATGTACATCCAGATCAGACATACCAGAACTGTCAGCTCTGTAACAGATGTATAATGGATCAATTAGTATACAGCCATTGGAGGTATATCCCTACCTTACTGTCCTGCAAGTCACTTCTCCAGCTTTCACCAATTTCAAAGCCTCTTCATATGCTGCGGCAGGCTTTTGAGGGATAAAGGGGCCCTCATTCAGTTCTAAAGTGTCAAACAGCTGAAAGTCAAACCACATAAGAGCACATGCATGAATACCAGCTCATTAACTCCGATACACATAAGTAATCCAAAAATTAAATTAAAATATTCTACAAAATTTGAAACCACTTGGTCCCCATGGATCGGGGTATACTTTACCTCCTCTACACCTCACTGCCTCCTCTCCATCTGATCCATTTTCCGCTCTCCTACTCTCTAGATCACTCCCCTACCCCTGTGCACGTTCCACCTCTCTCTCTCCCTCCTTTCCTAATTCTATCTATATCTCTACTTGTTCTCGCTTACTCCCCTTCCCCACCGTGTCGTTTGTCTTGTGTGATGTCACTTGTGGCCTTATGATGTTGCATCCCTGCCTTAATGTCAGAATATCACATATTACTGTACCATTACTTGATGAACTGTTTTCAAGGACTGGATACCAACTACACATATCCATCATTGTAATATTATGGGACCCTGTTTACTGCTGTTCCATGGAATATTTCACATCCCTTTATGGTGCTATTCTGTTCTAAGCACTGCCTATCTGATCTACTTTCTTTGTTTTCATTGCTTGTGACATCTGTGATGACTCTTTGTATTAATACCGTGTAATTGTGCACTTTTGTTCTCAATAATCAATAAAAAAATTATTTGAAAAAATAAAAAAATATTCTAAAAAATAGCAGTGTGGTTGCAGTTTAAAGCGGTAACGTCCTTTCTCAATAAATTTGAAGGCTGTTTGCTATCAAGCCACCCCTGTCCCATCCGTTTGAGTCACTATATATTTATGTTTGCACACACATCTTCCTCTCTCCATCCACTTGTGTCTAAAAATACTATACAAGTGTTCACATATGAGAATTGTTCTCTAGGGGAAAAAGCAATTATCAACACTTATTGACACTTTGACAGTTCCTGATCCATCTAAAATGCTAGGTGCTTAACCCCTTCATGACTGAGCTTGTTTTTAGTTTCTGTCCGTTAATGACTGAAGCACTTTTGACATTTTTGCTGTGTGATTCTTCCACGTCGGTAATATACTTTCTGACAAAGTGCACCCACACATATTATAATTTGTTTTTTTAGAGGACAGATAGGGCATTATATTTATATCACATATGTGTACCTAACGCCTCACTTAGGACAAATAAAAATATTTAAAAAAAAGAAGAGGAAAAAACATAAAGAAAACACGTTTTCCCCAGTTCTGATTTGTAGTATTTTTTTTTAAAAAACAGCACAGCTAAACAAAAAAACAAATGCAATAAATACATTCATTTATTTGTCCTTTATTTGGAAAAACCTGACATCCCTAGGATTTTATAAATGTTTCTGTACTTCTCGGCCTAAAACTAAAACCTAACATTTTAAATCTGTTTTCTCTAAAAGCTAAAAGTGGTCACCTGGCATACAATGTCACTGTCACTAAGTGTCAGACTTAGTGACAGCGACATACTTTGATCACTGTCATGAGGGGGGTTAAAAAAAAGCCGGTATACATCGGGATTTCCCGATCTATAACAGCTGTCCGAGTGACGGCAAGAGCTGCAAATGTGGCTCTGCTCTCACACTCTTAATATTAACAGTAACAGTCACTATAGAGTGCAATTATCTATATGGTGAACATTGGTATACATTGTGCTGGAAGACTACTAAAGGGCAGCAGCTAATATTTAGACAGGACCAAAGTGGATTGTTTATGACTGGTTTGGTTTTTTTTGGTTATAAGGCTAAAGTTCTATGGCACATGCAATAAAAAAACATATGTTATACTGGTAGATCCAATCTGGGAATGCCACCCGAGCACACAATAGAACTGAATGAGTAGCATAGTTGAGGCAGGGCTCAAAATATCTCTAAAAAGTGGAAATTTAGTCAGGCATGAGGTCACGGACCGCGTATCTGACTTATGAGAGGAGCTGCTCCTTGCTGTCCTGGCTCCGTTCCTTTTGGCCAGAGCTCTGCAGTTCTGAACTCCGTTCGAAAGGATTGATTAGTAAGGTCTTACTAATCACCACTGGATCACCAGTGATCGGATTCGTGCCTCCTCCCTGCATAAAGGCAAGCAGGTGAGGGGGCTCTTTGTTTTATTTTATGTGGGGTGGGGTGGGGGAGAGTACGGAGACAGCTGAGCTCTCCTCCCTACAGCGCTCGTTCAGCCTCCTGTGACAGCTGTCAGGATGGAGAGCGGGTACAAGCAGTCAGTGATCAGTGATCGATGAGTGTTTGTACATAATTGAAGACATAGTATGGTTACTATATCCTCAATTATGAATGAATGGGAAGTGATCTAAATCACCTCCTCTTCATTCATAGTTGTGGTTATAGTAAACATACTCTGTCCTCATGTTATGAATGAACAGGAACATTCAGTATAGAGGCTTCCTGTTTATTTATAATAGGGGCTGCAGAAAAAGAGGTTGAGGACTCTGTGCCCTCAATCTCTTTTTCTATTTTAAAAGGGAAATATCAGGGGTCTGTTTAGACCCCTAATATTTCCCCAAAGCCCCTAAAAGTAAAGTAAAAAATAATAAAAAAAATGAATAGAAATAAATATTAAAAAGTTTATAAAAAAATAAATGAAATATTTAAAAAATGTGAAAACATTAAAATTAAAAAAATTTGGTTTGGGTCTGACAATTTTTTACATTTCGGTTTTGTTTGGGTTTTGAAATTTCCATTTCGGTGTACCTCTAGTTCTTAGTATAGCAAATTCCAGATTCAAAGTCAGCGCTCTACCCCCTTTCCATACCATGCTTGCAGGGAGGAGGGTGGCTGAAAAAGCTTCCATTTTTAAGCTGAAGTCAATATCTGCATGTTAAAGATAAACTAGGATGGTCATGGCTCAATTCTTTTTTCAAAGGCGACAAATGCTGTTTTTTTATTTATCACTACATGTATTGTTATAGAGGAGACTGGTACATACACAGAACACATGCACAGGTTATAGAGTCATGCTTAACAGTCAGTGAGGAGTCATAGCAGAAACAAAATAGTTAAAGTGGACCTGAAATCAAAAAGTGAAGGTTTGCTGTCTTATCAGGAACATCTAGAAATGTTAATTGTGCATAGGCAGTAGAGTGATAGATTTACCTTTTCTCTTGTATGACCTCCTTAAAAATAGCACTGTGCTTCCTGGTATGTGATTAGGTCTAGGTACTACTGTGCCTTAAACCTCATAGTTGTATATCTGCAGTGTGAGATCTAAGGTACTGTGCCTCTAAATGCTAGTCTCGTGAGATTTGGAGAGAGATTTGGTGATGAGGAAACATCAATGCTCCTTCTACACAGAGAAATGGAAAGAAGTAACGGAATGTAAGGCACATCATGTGACCAAAAGGGGATATTCTGCCTTTAAAAACTCGGCACTACGGTGTTGTTTACTGTTCTCCTTGCTGTAAAAAGAGGAAGCTGTATCCGAAAGCCTGCAGAGCAAGGATCTTCCTGCCTCTATTTTATCCAGTCTGTGCTTCCACCACTATTCCTTAACATTACTCCATCAATCATTAGATTACCGATCATTAGGGGGCAGCTCTGACATTAGGGAGCAAAGGCCTGCTCCTCTACCGAGCTGGCCACACTGAAACCCAGAGCAGAACAAGACATTGTAAGTCATTAAAGGGGAATAGATCAGTCCACAGGCATAACTAGTGTCTAATCCTTTCCCCCCTGCTTTCTGTTTTTGACTACAGATTCCACAGTTGAGATCCTCTAGAATTGTTTAAGATTTTATTTGTTTTATCAAGAGTGAGAGAGAGAGAGAGATCGAGATATCGAGAAAGAGGAGGAGATCGAGATATCGAGAAAGAGGAGGAGATCGAGATATCGAGAAAGAGGAGGAGATCGAGATATCGATAACTATTGGTTTATCACACAAAATATAGTGTGAATACATGAATAGTGTGGAAGCACATTGGCTCAGTGGTTAGCACTTCTGCCTTGCACCACTGAGGTCTCGGGTTTGAATCCAGGTTGGCCAGGACACTAGTTGCATGGAGTTTGCATGTTTTCCCTATGCTTGCTTAGGTTTCCTCTCACAAAGACATGCTGGTAGGTTAATTGGCTCCTATCTAAATTGGCCCTAGTATGTGTGCATAGATAAGGACCTTAGATTTTAAGCTTCATGAGGGCAGAGAATGATGTGAATGAATAGCATTAATGTGGCAGATGAGGTTTAATGTCGATAAATGCAAAGTAATGCACTTTGGAATTAAAAATAAACAAATGGGTTATACAATTATGGGTATGCCGCTGGGGAAGTCAGAAATGGAGAAGGATTTGGGGGTCATTGTAGACCACAAACTGAAAGGTAGTTTGCAGTGCCAGGCTGCTGTAAACAAAGCTAGCAGGGTCTTGTCCTGTATTAAAAAGGGGATGTATTGCAGGGACAAGTCTATAATTTTGCCACTTTATAGATCATTGGTTCGACCTCATCTGGAGTACGCGGTCCAGTTCTGGTCACCAGTACTAAGAAAAGATGTCCTTGAGTTGGAAAAAGTCCAGCGAAGGGCAACCAAACTAATTAGGGGTATGGAGGACCAGAGCTACGAGACGAGGCTACTAAATTTAAACATGTTCACATTAGAGGTGAGGAGATTAAGGGGGGATATGATTTCCATGTACAAAATGTTTAATGGTGGTAGCAACATTAGCGATAAACTGTTTAAAATTAACTCCGTTACAAAAACTAGAGGCCATCACCTAAAATTGGTGGAAAGAAAATTCCAGCACAAGGGGCGAAGGGGGTTCTTCACAGTAAGATCAGTTAGGGTCTGGAACTCACTGCCACAGGCGGTGATTTCAGCAAATAATGTGGAATTGTTCAAGAAACTTTTGGACGATTTCTTAAGGGACCGTAATATACAGGGGTACGGGTACTCCTAGAATGAGATCCTAATAGGTTGGACTTGATGGACTAATGTCTTTATTCAACCTCAAATACTATGTAACTATGTAATAGTATGTAAAGTTCTGTGTAAATTGATGGCGCTATATAAATACATATAATAATTTCACTGTCCAACAACTGACCAAACAAAACGTTGTGGATTTTTCTGAGAAAGTGTTTTAATTGCTGAGAAAACAACATTGATGTTCTGAAGAGGGACATAACACATTTAGATCACTCATTAGTTACCCAGATCCATCAACATGTTATCTTGGGGCATGTCGGGACCAAACTCTTCCTGCAGATTATAGGCACGGCTCAACAAGGCTTCTAACCTGCCTGACAACTCTTTGCTCTGCGAAACCTAAAACAAGAACATTAAAATATCCTTATAACAACATTTATGATGATATTGCCATAAAACAAATGTTGCTATCAGCTGAGAGTACTGGAATTGGAGGCTCTGTAGCTGCTTGTAAAAGGACAGCCTGCATTTTCAGCTTAGTTGCTAGATTCTGGTGAAATTAATTTTGGTCACAAAATTGTAAGCAAGATTCTCTGTGCAGTTACTTGCTCATCCTGACTTGTTTTGTTCGGAGTCATGCTCATCTCTTTATGTGTTACTTGGAGGAAAAGGAAGTCTAGTGCTGTAACCCCTTCTAAGCTAACTTCAGTATACTGACCATTAGGGATGCACCAGTACCGATACAGAGTATTTGGGAAAGTACTCGTACTCTGAGTGGCAGTGCTGCGAGGGAACATGGAGCCGGCTTCTTGACCAATCAGGAAGGTGGGCGGTGGGTAATGACTTGCCGTCCGGCTTTCTGATTGGCCGCAAAGCCGGCTCCAAGCTGATTGGCTGGGAAGCCTGCTTCCCGGCCAATCAGGATTGATCCGCACAAACAGCCGGCTCCATGCTTCCTGATTGGCCAATCAACATTGAGCCGGCCAAACAGCATGGAGCCAGCTTCCCAGGCAATCAAGAAGCCGGGTGGTGCATTTGGACCCTTGCCGGTCCAATTCCTTTCCCTGTTTTGAGATCGTCCACCACCCACTGCATTTGGACCTATCCCATTTTAGTATAGGCAACAGCATTAGTCAAGATCACTTAATTCCCATTTCGGGTAATTCATATCTACATGGCCAAAGTTAATTCCATCCTATTTGGATTTCAAATAAATCATATGGACAGGTTTGTAAACCCTCGCTATTTAAGGAAACCTACTTTAGAGAAGCGATAGTTTCCATACAGTGTACTGAGGCTGGTCAACAAACTCAAAGCAGCTTCATAGTTTCATGGCTCTAAAATATTAGGCTGTAACTGTGCACAAACCAGTAGTTAGTTACATGGTTGGCTCAGAGGAACATTTAATGATATGCAAAGCTCACCCTGCTACCTAAATGAGAAATACACAACATACTTCTTTAAATTTGTGTTTTGAGCGTGTACGAGTGAATCTTAGTTAGGTCCATTACTTTCTGCGAATTTACCTCCTGCAAGCCCTCAGACATGCTGCCTCCATGAAGTTCACTTTCGAGAGCTGTAGGGGTGCTGGAGCTACATCGCTGGCCTACGTTCAGAGCTTGCTGCCACTTATGCAGAGCTTCTTCAAACAGCTCCATTCCTAACCACCAACACAAACAGGGACATTCATGTATTACTATTCACAAGTCGAAAACATACATGTGTCCAATAAACACCAGAGTACCATACAAAAAGAGAAAATTATTATCTCTGGGGTTGTGTTTTTGTATCCCAGAATAGGTGGTTCCTGCTACATTGTGAGATTCCACTCTGGTAGGTCTCCTGGCTTGGACACCGTGGGACACTATCTAGGTACTGCTGTGTTTTTACTTTCTGGAAGCAAACAGGAGTCCTTCCTACATCAGAAGTGGTAGACTGATTCCGGTTGAGGATGGCACCGTGGGTCTTACTCTTACTGATCCCCTGAGGGGCAATCCCCTGGAAAAGAGTTAGTTCCAACTGGTAGCTTCTGAATATGGATGGGAGGTTCTTGCACCTAAGTCCAGGGGTTGCCCACGTCTCAGCTAGACTGCTTTTAAACATCCCAACAGTGATTCCTGTATTCCCCAATAGATGAGAAAGGAAATAGTATTTGCGTACGCACTGTAAAATCCTTTTATTGGAGTCTATTGAGGAACACAGGCCACCCCTCTGTTTTTTTTATGTTCCTAGTACTGCTTACTACAAACTGAAGCATGATGGGTAGAGAAGAGGTTGACCCTGCTCTAGACTAAATATTTTGTTTGCCAGTGTTCATTTCTCCAGCAGGCAGCAGTATATCCCGATAGTATATGGTCGCTCTGTCCCTCAAAGGACTCCAAGAAAAGGATTTTAAAGTGAGTATAAAAATATAATTTTCTTGTATGCACCATCAACGTAATCCCGACACATTTTTTAGACAGTTATTTGATGTCTAAACATAGCCAAATGCTTGTCTGTTATCAGCTTCATGGGATTTGTCATATATGGCACTAAAGATAGGCTTTTGCACATAGTGTAACTGTTGATCACAGCAGCTAATCATGCGTTATATGGGAGTCATTGTAATTACCCCTAAAACACAGCAGATAAAAAGGTAGGTTAATTGGCTCCTCTCTAAGTTGGCCCTCTATGTATGCATGTGAGATAGGGACCTTATATTGTAAGCTCCTTGAGGGTAGGGACTGATGTGAATGTACAACTATGTAAAGTGCTGCGTAAAATGTCGGCGCTATATAAATACCTGTAATAAATAAATAAAATTAATAAATACCTTGAACATACAGGTTTTCTGCATTAGAGTCATCTGCGGCTAATTGTTCGTCCATCTCTCTGGATCCCCATGGTTCCAGGGATGGAGCATTTGCACTAGAGGAGTTGACTGCCACTACCTGCTCAATAGAGAAAAATAAGAAAATAAGATGAATGAAATACACAGATGAATTACATATATGAGCACTGTTTTACGTTCCAAAAGTATATTTATTCGTGTCCAACTGGTCATGAGATTTACAAAGCTCTTCCACATGTCACAACCAGGTTAAAAGGAGAATTATGAGGTGAGTGATTTTCACTCAGCCTCATAATCTGAGCCGACCTGTGACAATGAAACTGTCACAGGTCGGCTCAGTAGATCGGGAAGTGAGCGAACACATACCGGCGCTCGCTCACTTCTCGATCAGTGCAGAGAGTCTGTCACTCACGGCTCCCTGCAGGGATTCCCCCCCTCCCCTGTCCGATCCCCCAGGGCTGACTGGCGGAACGGACGGGAGAGGGGGCGGGTATAGGTGGCTCTGGCTCTAGATAGGCAGAGTCAGCTGTCACTCACGCAGCTGGGTGGATCCAGACAGAATTGTCGCGATCCGTTCCGGCGTCTCAGTATACCGCGAGCGGTATACTGAGCTTTGGGTGACGGGAGGACGCTAGTTTGTGTCCTCCCGTTACCCTTAGGAGAACTATGGGGAAAAGCCCTAATCCAATAGTTCTCCTTTAATGACTGTCTACTGCAGGTATGCAATAAAGCCAAGTCATCATGTTGTCCTAGCCTGGACAGAATGAGAAACTGTAGCATACTTATACAGTAAGTTATTGCTCTGCTTTTTCCTCCTGTTAGAAAGTGCATTGTCCTTACGTGTACCAGAGAACATCAGGTATCGAGGGAGCAGGAAGCCGGCTTTCTGGCCTATCAGAAAGCCGGGGGGCATGTAATGACACGCTGCCTGGCTTCTTGATTGGCCGGGAAGCCGGCTCCATGCTCCCTCGTCACAAGTGGGCAGTGTGTAATGACTCGCTGCCCGGCTTCCTGATACCGGAAGTATCGGGCTAGGCATCGGAGCATTTGGGTGAGTACGAGTATCGGTGCATCCCTATTCCATAGTGTCACAATCAAATCTAACAAGCCATGCTACCTATGCCAACATACAAATGAAAAATGCTTCAATACAGCAACAGGACTTACCGAAGCCAAGCTGTGAGTGGAACTTGAGTGCATGCTTGAATGCTTGCTTGGCTCAATCGAAGAAATACCACTGAGAGTGTCATTACTTTTGCTGCTTGGACTCTGAACTCTGCGGGGGTGTCCTGAACAATCAGATACAAGACATCAAGAGATATAAGGGCTGTAAAAGGGAAGACCCTCAGAATTCTACGACTGGTGTTCTTAGTTTAATCAAATCACAGAAAGTAAATACTTCTACAGTGTCCATTATTGATCAGAAGTCGGTCTGTCTTACCCTCTGTTTGCTAGGATTGTGCAGCAAGTCTTTGGCCTTGTGAGTTAATCCGCAGCAGCTTATTGAAGAGAAGTGTTCATTGTAAATTTCAGACGTGGGGTGAATACTGTATTGGTCTGGCTTGTGTTAGCACAGAGTTTCTCATGCCGAAGAGAAACTGTGGTCATTGTAATGTTTGTTTAGATATAAAAGCAAATGTGATCAGCTAAATTGACATAACCTGATTGAGACCTCATAACCTGATTATAATCGATTATGTCGATTAGTTGTTGCAGCCCTACCAGACAGTAATAAAAAAAAGCCAGCACTGAACTTCCAAGATGACTGTTTACACAAATCCCATATCAGAAAAAAAAACACAACAAAATGCTGACAGAAAGTTCCATTGCTTCCTTCTTTATCCAAAACTAAAAGAAAATATTAGGGCTGGTAATGATTAAAATTCGATTAATCAAATTTTTTTTTAATCGATTAAATTATAATGCATATACAGATCTAACTACATTGGCCTATACACATACAGCACAGCAATGAAGTAATAAAATGAACTAGGATCACACAAATCCAGCACGTTATTAATCTCACGTGCCCCACTCAATATGGCCTAAGGGTGATTTAAACATAAGTATTAGCTTATTATTTGAAGTAGCAGCACATGTCCATTTCATTTCATTTAAGGATCTGATTGCAACATAAAAAAAGTAAATTTCAATGGGCACATTTCTGGGAGCGAGATGGGGGGG